ACAAAGTGATAACCATAGACCGTGTAGCCCAAGGGTAAGGGTTTGAAGTCCCAGCCCGAAGAATCGCCGTTCGAGTCCTGACAGGGACAAAAAGTACGCACTACTGACGAGTCCCAAACAGGACGAAACGGCTGTCCAGTGCTCTTTGTTGGTTATCACAAACATTTCCATCGCACTAAATATGAAACTGAAACTTTGGTTCCCTTCTTTCAGTCACTACTTCTGCGCTATACACCGATCCCCCAAATAATAGTTCCCCTTCACTTTCTGATACTTGATCAACAGCCACTGTGAACTTCGTTAAAGCAGACCCCAAGTCCGTAAACACATTAATAACAATAGATTTTATACTCCGGAGGGTTATCACCCTCTTGACGTAAAATGGAGTGGTTAGCCGTGTTGCGTAACCCTCACAAACTGGTTGGTCTCCTCATCCGTATTATCGGTCGTTTTTGTATGCTCAATCTCGTCCTCACATTCGATCCATATCTACTTTCCCAAATAACTTCAGTTTCTTCACTTGGGTCATCGTATAACTGTCTTATTTCACTGTATATCTGATTTACAAGTTTTACTCCTCCAGCTAACTGAGATAACATCCTGGTTTCTGATGCCTTAAAGAATCGTTACGTCTCCATCAGTGTTTCCACCCTGGCTTTCGCATTATTTGGAGCTCTACTACAATGCATGTAACTATTTAGTTAACATTTCTTTAAGCTCCGCAAACCGTTTTTCCGATAATGCTTAAATTGGGCCTGGTGTTTTTAAAAACACGTTACAACGCTCTCTGTCACCAGCATTTTATCACACAACAACCGCATAGGTGTCATAAAGAAAGCTAAGGAGGACTTTGTTGGTCGGAAAGTAACACATTTATAAAGCGCTACTTCTGGAAACCAGATTTTCTGGTCAGTTACTCAAGCAGCGTCCCGGAACCTCCGTTTCTTCAACTTCTACTCCATTGCTGACCCATCTAATGATTTAGTATCACCCGCTTGAAAAGGTCGAAGGTTTTACCTTACAATTTGCTTCTAATTCCACCTGACCCGATCCAGCTCTACAACAGATCACGTTTTCTTCCTGCTGGTTTCCACTGGACAGACATGTCATATATAGTAATCCCAAACGTGTACCTCAGAATTCTCCCACCCCCTCTCACTCTTTCACATAGCTTGTTCCTAACTTCTGGATGATGAACTATACTCTCATCCGTAAAACAAAACAAACTGTTTAGCGGGCCTCGGTACGGTTTTTGGTCTCATCAATCTGCCGGGGATCGCTAGGCAATCAGAATTCGACATCCAGGGACAAACCCATATAGTACCGCTGTATATATGAAAAGCTGTTGGTCGTGTCTGGCACGCAGGATTTTCGGTGAAGCTGTACAGCAAGTTATTTCCATGACCACACCATCTCTGTCCAAGTGTGTAGGATCATGTCTCGTTCACCAGTC